TGTCCTGTAAGTAAATTACATTTAGAAAAATTTTTCTTCTTTTGAAAACCAGTTTTCATTTGTAATAACAGTAAGACAGCCATGAAAAACACATAGTACCAAAATAAGTCAAAAAAAAATAAGAAAAAAAAAATTGTTTGGGCAAAAAATTAAAAGTATCCCAAGTAAAATTTATAGAAAAGATTCCTTTATTAATTTTGGTCGAGATATGTTTGTATATTTTCAGAAAACAACTCCAAGACCATGTGGATTCCTGCAACAGAGAAGAATTTACAGGAATACTCCAGCCGTAAAGACAAGAGTAAAAACAGACCAGAGATGGAAGATGCTGACGACGCCTTGCCATACTAGCAGTCAGCAGATGTACGTCGCTGCAGGTTGTCCAGGACCAAATCAGAGGTCGGACCTGCATTGACACCATTTTTCCACCATCCGGATACCATTGCTGTCATGGACTCAGAACTCTTGGACATTAAAATTTGGACTCAAAAAACTGTGTGACACTGAATCTGGGATTCAAAAACTGTTGGCCCAGAAAGAAATGTACTGCAGACTGATTTCATTTGACTCTCAGCATAGCCATTGTTGCTTATTTCATTGTTTATTTGTAGTCTGCTTATGTAAAATTTTTTAGGGAAAGAAAACGGGGGAGATGCTGGAAACCAAATCTTATTCAGCTGGGAAAGAGATGTTGACAGGAAGCCAGGAAGGCTGGTCAACAACCTCAATTGCTTTAAACCTTTAGTTGAGATTATGTTAAGTTGAAGCAGCTGTTAAGCCTCAATAAAAGGGGATGGCAGGGCCAGAGCAGTCGTAGTTCTCCCACTAGAGTTGGACTACCGCCTGGCCCCCCAAGTCGCCAAATTAAATTTCTTTAAGTCTCTTCATTTGTGTGCGGCCCTTCTCCAGAAGCTGAACCCTGAATTGGAACTCTTTCTATGCCGGCTGGGAAAGAGAGTCCTATAAGGGCTATTACATTCCCCAGGCTTATACCATATGAAGGGAAGTGCTCAACCCAAGAAAGATGGTATCTGTGGGCAGTGTGGGAGAGGGACTCAGCATAGGTACTCTGGCAGTTGTCCCTTCAGCTCTCTTCCCAGAGCCACACAACCTGGTCTCTCTTCACACAATTCTAGTCCACTTCAAGCTGCCCTCCTTTTTCAGAACCTAATGAGGCTTCAAATGAGGTTTTATGCACTGGCCCCTTAAGACAGCAGGAGGGTTTCTAGCAGAATTTGTCTCTCCCTCTGGCAGATAGAATCCATGCTGATTTTCACAGCCAGATGTTATGTGAGCGCCTCCTCCAGGCTCTGATGTTCTGGGCTGGGGAGCCTGCTGTGGAGTTAAACCCCCAAGATTCTCAGGAGCAAACCTTTGCAGCTAAGCTATCCCTCCAGATTCTCAGCTGCTTCATGTGAGCCCTTCCTACCAGTCAAAATGTGACTTCTTCTATAAATCCTTGATGATAAAAGTACAACTCAGCTAGTCTTCATTTGACTATTCAGGTTAATTAGTCTATATTTCAGTTATAATGCCAGGTTAGTTTTGGAGGAGATAGGTGTAACTTCAACATATTCTGCTGCCATCTTGGATTCTCCCAAATGGCAGAGAATTTCATCCTCAGGCCTTGATATCTAATCAAGTTTGGCTAGAAAGACATTAAAACTACCTTGATCAGTTTTTCTCAGTGATTAGAGTGTCTGTAGACTCAAGGGTAATGATTCAATTTCAGTCAAAGGCACATACCTTGGTTGCAGGCTCAATCCCTGGCTCTGGGCGCATGCAGGAGGCAACCAATCAATATTTCTCTTTTAAATTGATGTTTCTGTGTGTGTGTGTGTGTGTGTGTGTGTGTGTGTGTGTATCCTATCCACTCTCTCTCAAAATCAATGGAAAAAATATCATTGGGTGAGGATTAACAAAAATAAAAAGAAAGACATTAAATCTTATTGTGGGGCAAAAGTCTAATAGCCTCCATAAAAAAAGTTGATGAAGATGAAGTTGTGTTCTTCATCTTCAAATCAAAAGATGAAGAACACAACTTCATATAAAATAACAGAATTATAAGGTAATTTACTTATAGGAAGATTGGGTCAGAGTGACTCAACATTTTTTCTTAAGTTATTATTCACTACCAGACTCTTGTTACACTACTTCTTTTATAGTATAACTCAGGTATAATGATTGACAAGACAAAAAATGCAATAGTGGCAGGGGGCATCTTTCCTGGTGGTCTTGTGATAAATGATTGCTTATATTTGATACTCTTACCAGTTTGATATTTATCTCAGTTGTCATGCCATTCTGGCTGTTGCTAACAAAAATATTTAAGGCCACATTTTAAGGAACACAGATGAACATTAACTAGAAGGTTTGCTAAGGACAGTGAAGTTGGTCAAAAGTCACAGCATGAATTTTGAAATAAAATCTTGTCACAGAGAGAGAATTAGTTTTGTTCATATGTACATGTACATACTTATGAACCATTAACTCCTTTTACTTTCCATCTAACACCACCCCTTTTTAAAACAGAAATGTCTGTGATCCATGCCTTGTCCCTCCACTGTGTGCTAGGAATGTTGGGTGGGTAGTTTCTTCAGTATCATGGGTCTATAGATGAGGAAGATATGTGCTTAAAAGCTGTATTTAAATAGTTATTGTCTTAGCTGGTTTGGTTCAGTAGATAGAGCATCATTGGCCTGCCAACTGAAGGGCCCCAGACTTGATTCTGGTCAAGGGCACATGCCTGTATTGCAGGGGGCATGCAGGTAGCAGATTCTCCCAAGTGGCAGAAAATTTCATCCCCAGGCCTTGAGATCTAATCAAGTTTGCCTAGAAAGATATTAAAATTGCCTTGGCCAGATCCTCACTCATCATTGATGTTTCTATCTCTCTCTCCCTCTCCCTTTCTATCTAAAATCAATAAAAAATATTTTTTTAAATAGTTATCACTAGGAAACTTATTCTCACCTGACTTTGAGAAGTTAGATTAAGAGATTTTGGACTTTGAGGTGATGAGATAATGATATTTAGATTTAGATGATGATGTTGGTTCACAAACCAGCCCCCATACATGGAGGGCAAGAAGAGATGGAAGAAATAAGCAGACTACTCCAGATAGGTAGGTGGCAAGTTTAATAAACAAGGCAACTCATTTGACAATCAGAAGACTCACTTCCACCTGCCAAAATCTATATAGAGGATATACCTAAGCTCAGTCAAATATACCATCTAGAATCTAGTCTAGATCGTCTCAACAATACCTATCTCTTTCACGGCTGCATCCTTGAAACAGCTTCCACTGTGGGAACAGTTGGCAGAGTGTACAGTCCAAGGTCAGGGGAGAGGTAAAGAACGTTCAATTGCTGAAGTCCAGCTCAGTGATCAACTGGAGATTATGTCCTATTGATGACCTCCACCAACAGATAAGAATTTGTATTTTGTGTTGATACTGTATAGGAAGAGACTCGGAAACCTTGGGATATAGTGAATAATCTTGCATTTAGGAAAGGTACCAGTTATTAGAGGACAGAGGTTGGACCCTGCTTCTCCTTGACCCATAATTTCCTGCTGCTGAGTTGAGGAGACACTTGATGAAGAGATATCCTCTCCTTGATTATGCCATGCTGTATTGCACTAGTGAGTTACAGAAAGAGATATTACCCTTAATATTCATAGAAGATGGTATAGATGACTATATCAGATCTTGAAAACAAGTTGGCAATATTTGGTGTTATTATGTAAACAACTGACCTCTGATGAACTAGTGCATATTCCTGGGTCTATCTCATAACTTCCTGACGACTCTGTCACCCAAATGGGAACCCATGGATAGAGGGAACTTATGTACCTTCTGCTTCCCCTATTAGCATGGGTGTTCTTTTCACCCCCCTCTTCATATTGTGGTAACATTTACCAAGATGGTGTAGTTGTTTCATCTACATTATTTTTAAGTAGCTAAGTGGAAATTGGTTCTAATTATGATTAGACTTCCAGTTCATACTGCCTTCTTGAACCTAACACCAGCTTCTGCAGCTCCCCATGTGGCGCAAGGCCGTCTGAATACGGATCAGTGCATTTCACCGACCCCCAGGAGGCGGTTTCCCAGCTGCCCCCGCGTGATGGCCAAGGTGCTGTCCGCTCCATCTGATGGCGAACGCTGGGGTGGGGGTTGCAGGTCCAAGCTGGCGGGCAGCCTACGCCCTGGCTGTGGCCCTTTTCTGGCTGTACCCACTACTGCTGCACACCCAATCTGCAGGGACCACCGCCCAGTCTGCTGGGACCAAAGCCCAGCCTGCGAGGACCACTCAGGCCTGGGCTGGTGAGTGGGCAGCCAGGGCAAGGGAGCCCAGGGAGCCCACTTTGACATGTCACACCCTCAATAGCAGCTGAGTGGGAGGAGGGGTTGGGCTCTAAGGTCCCTGGGTTTCTGCAAAATATAAGCGGTGGGGCCATGGAAAAAGAGGAAGGGGAGATCAAGGTATGCCTCTTCCCTGCAGCTCTTTCCCAGTAGATTTCAGTATTCTAGGCCAGGAATAGAGGTCCTGCACTAGCCTGTCTCTGTTGGCCCCCCAAACCCTCTTCATTTCAAGAATGGGAAGTGCTACATCAGGAGGGAGACTATCAAGCAAAGTATGTTTCATTTGGCCTCAGGGTCCCTAGAACATTGGACTGAGGTGGGAGGTGTGTAAATAAGTCATTATCAGTAGCCTTGAGCAAACATCATCCCTCTGTAAGCCCTCAGTTTCTGGGACTTCAAACAGTTATGTATTAGTAAGTGAAATAGGTCTGGGGAAGGGCCTGGGGAAATGCCACTGCCCAGCCCGGACCTCCTCATTTCTGTTCTGATCTGTACCTACCTGGCTGCCCCGCCCTCCTCCTTGGCCCCTTCTCCAGACTCACAGGCTGCTTCCTTAAAGCTCCAGTGAAGCCAGGTGACCTTTGTCACATATGCTATGTCACTTCCCTATGGGTTTATGGAGGCAGCAAGGCTGTGCCTCATGACTGGAACTGTCTACACAGTGTGTGGGAGGCCCGTGGTGACTGGGAAAATCTTCGGTGGCAAGAATGCACCTGACCAGCGGTGGCCATGGCAGGCCAGCCTGCTCTACCATGGCAAACACATCTGTGGAGCAGCTCTCATCGATGCCTTCTGGGTGATCTCAGCTGCCCACTGTTTCCAAAAGTGAGTCTTCTCACAGCGGTGCAGCTGCTGGGGTGTGAAAGGGAGTGAGCACAAAATGGCCAGAAAAGAATGGGACAAGGGAGGTTGCAGCTTTTTTTTCTTCTTCTTCTTCTTCTTCTTCTTCTTCTTCTTCTTCTTCTTCTTCTTCTTCTAGGCTTTGTTCTGGGATAGTTTCTGCCACCAGGTGTCTCTGGGTGTTGTTGCAGTCCTCTCTACCTGGAATACCATGACGGCTCACCACCTGACTCTGGTCTTTTGACTGTCTTGAGTCATTTCTTCTAGGACAGAGACTAATTCCTTCGTTTCTCCTAATGGAGATATTCTTTTCACCCCTTCTTCATATTGTGGTAATATATACCAAGATGGTGTGGTTGTCTCATCTGCATTATTTTTAAGTAGCTAAATGGAAATTGGCTCTAATTATGATTATAGTAAATACTGGAAAACAGACTTTATTTCCAAAATAATTGCCTCCAGTTCATTCTTTATTTTTTTGTAAACTTTAGGAATTGAAATCCTGTTCCAACTCAAGGTGAACTCTGGTTTCTATATGTTGCCCAGCTCTATATAGCCTCAAGATTCCAATGTACCTCAGTTTTCTTTTGTGCAGATGGTAGTTGATATGCAGTGTCCCTTGCCACATTCAGGCACAGGCTTCATGCTGTAAGTCAGAATGATAGTACCAAGGCTGGTGGTGGGGATCATCAGTCAGGGGCCATTGTGAACAGGTATTTTGCCCCCCTTCAGCCAAAATGTCTGAAGGATATTTCCAGCACAACTGCCTGAGGCTTCCCTGGGTCCTGACTACCTACACACTTAGCAGTTCTTCTCTATAGACATGCTGGGACTCTGCATACCTAACTAGAACTCAGCTCTTTCTTCACGTCTGTAGAACTGTGTACCTAAGAATAGCTGTTGTCACCACTGTCCTCACAGACTAGAGTGAGAAATAAAGAAAATGGTCTCTGTCCCAGGAGATGGGTGCAGATAGTAGAGTGGGTATCCTGGGCTTACTCTGTGCCCAGAGGGAATGGTAAAGACATCATGCTCCATGTAATGAAGACAAGGCTGCTTTGAGACCCCACTTCTGTTTATTTATTCAGTACCCATGGGTGCCAGGCCCCATGTGAAGTCCACTGTAGGTGATGTAGAGATGCAAGACTGCACTTGAAACTTCTCATCCTATAAGAAAAGTAAGACACAGTCCAACTACTGTGATACAGGATAGAGAGTCCATAATGTGTGAGAGGGTAGATGCTTAGCCAGTGTCAAGGGAGGTGCTGTAGGTCTCATCAGAGATTGGGGCTTGTGGAAGAAGGATTCAGGCATGGGGAATCTGGGTAAGGACAGCATAAGCAGGATACCACACACACCTCTATTGGCTCCACAAAGACTTGTTGAGTGCCTGTCACCAGATGGGGATCAGCCTTTAGAGAAGTTGGTGTGTCTGGACTTGGAAGGAAGAGGATGGATCATTCTAGGATGAGAAATGGGGTCTTTGAGAATCACTCATGGCTATGGGACCTTTCAAAGGTTCTGGTCAAAGTTGGGAATGAGCCAAGTATTCTCTCCTGTAAAAGAAGGGGTATAACTTCATGTCTCCAGCACTAAGATTCTCTGCTCCTTTCATTCTGGGGCATGCTGGGAAAGACATCAGTAACTTTCAAAGGATAAATGTACTGAGGCTATGGACAGCAATCAAACCACCTCAAGAGAATGTTAGGAAGGGAGGAGAAAGAGATCACTGGAATAATGGTGGAATCTAATTACTAACCAGGGGGTGGGGGAAGCAGTCAGAGTAAGGGTGCTGGTCCAGCACTCAGAAAAGATGGGTGATAATGGAGCCTCTCCATTATAGGTCCCATGAACCATCAGACTACAAGATCCTGCTAGGGTACCATAAGCTACAGCATCCCACTGAGCACAGCCTTCAGATGACGGTATACCGACTCATTGTCCACGATGATTTTAATAAGTTTCACATCATGGGGAGCGACATCGCATTATTGCAGCTTCATCGGTCTGTGAATTTTACTTCCCACGTCCTCCCTGCCTGCCTTCCAGAGCCTAATGCAACATTGCCACTTTCTACCTCCTGCTGGATAACTGGCTGGGGAATGATCACTGAGGAAGGTGAGCAGAATAGGGCAGATGAAGAGAATAAGGCTGAGGAGGAGGGAGGTGCAGTGGCCACCATGAGGCCCTGACAGCATGTCCTTCTAAAACTTAAAGTTTCCTTTAGTTCGTTGTTCAAAAAAAATCTGAGTATCTCTAACTTTTGGAATCAGAAATTTGGGCTGTTTGACTTGAGCCATTCAGGATTCCACCCTGACTCCCAGATCCTCCTTGGGTCAGGCTCCTTCAGAGCTTGCTTTGTCAAAACCTCTTGAAATCCTACTGCCACAGAAGGTACTTGGGCAGCAGTCAGGAAATGAAGCAGGCTTGCTCTCTGGTCTGGGTAGTGGAATTGCACATTTATAGCTTTTACCTCTGTTAAATTTACTTCCCTTTAATTCTAACTGAAGTAAAAGTTGCCCATTTTGCCTGCTTGATAATGGAGAAAAGAGAAATATTGGGCAAAGATTTTGTACAAGAATGAATGCTTTTGTTTTAAACATAACATTGAGTGAAAAAATAGGATATAAATTTGGCAAAGCATCCCAGTGAAGGCATTGGGGGCAGGACTTTCTTTTCTGTGCATGCTAGTGCCAATATCCTTGCTCCTGTCCACTGTCAGTCACACAACATTTCCAAAGACACTCTCCTGGGATGGACTCATTAAGAACCACTGGCATACCAAATAAGATTTTCCGAGCTGGTCAGAGGATGGGAGTTGGGGAATGAAGTGAAATGAGCTGCCAGCAGGACAGGGAGCAGCTGACATCAAAGAGGGACTCAGCTGTATTTCTTCCTTCACACCGCCCCCTCCCCTGGGGACTGCAGTTGCTGGTCTGGGTTTCCCCTAAGAACATGTGAGGGCTGTACACAACTGGTACTCCATAAGAGTGTGTGGTCACTGTAACTCTGTGCTGTTTCATGAGGACACCAAGTCAGATCTGTAAGCAGTATCTGGAAATAGAATCTTTAGGAAAGGTGTTCACAAACCAGATGCTCATTGAGGCTAGGCCATATTTTATTTTTCATACCACCTAACTCCATCTAGCATCTGATATGTATATTACTGCTACTCCTTGACTCATAGCTTCCACTCTCTGTGCCTCTAGTTCTGTCCCCACATAGCAGTCAGATTAATTGTTCTTAAACTTTAAGTAGAGCCTCCAGTAATTTCCCAGAATGATTAGAATGAAATCCAAACTTCACATCTTGGTGAGGAGGCCTTGCTTGTTCTGGATCCTGCTATGATTTTTTTTACCCCTATAACAACCACACTGACCTCCATCTTGGTCCTTCCAACAGTATTGTGCTCACTTTTGCTCTCTTGTCTGCCTTGAACATCTCCATGCCCCCCTCCCCGACCCCCCCCCCCCCTTTACACATCCTCTGAGAGGCTTCCTTAATCCTCTTAGCCAGAATGATGGCCTCTTCTTCAGCAGACAGGTTAGGGAGGCAGCTGGCTTTTAACCCAGGCTATACTTCATATCTGACCAAACTACCATTCCCCTGCAGAGTTCCTGCCTCCACCTTCACAACTGCAGGAGGGAGAGGTTGGCATCATGGACAATGAGATCTGTAAAATTTATTTCCAATCACCAACCAGTAAATACTCTCTACATGAGGATATGCTGTGTGCAGGGAACCTCATTACTGGAAAGTCCATCTGCAAAGTAAGTAAGACCAGCTCTATATATTCAGTCAGGGCTATCTCTCCTCTCCTGTGGCATCTGTTCTCTCTCTCTCTCTCTCTCTCTCTCTCTCTCTCTCTCTCTCTCTCTCTCTCTCTCTCTCTCTCTTCTCTACCCTCTCTCTCCTTCCTCAGCCTATGGTTTTTTATTTCTAACCCACCCCAGTTGCAAGTGTCAGAGCCAAAGGACAGAAACCACTATAGAGCCCACTCCATCTGTTTTCTTCATTTTTAAAAAAAAAAAGCTTTCTTGAAGTATAGCATTCATAGGAAAGGGCACCATTCACAAGTGTGCCATCTGATGCATTTTAGAAATTGATACATGCCTGGAACCAGCACCCAAAGGGTCCTCCTTATACCCCTATCTTGTCATTAACTTCCCCCAGCTATCCCTGATCCCTGGCCTGGCTTGTTAAACACCATGAAATAGTGTCAGGACTTCTATACATGGAATCATACAGGACACATTCTCATTGGGTCTCTTTTAGTCAATGTCATGTTTGTAAAACTTATCCATCTTGTGTGTGATTTATATTATCTTTTTATTCTTTATTGATAAAGGTATTATATATGTGTCCTTATCCCCCTATTGCTCTCCCACCATTCTACTCATGCACTCACCCCTCTGTTGTCTGTGACTTTTGATTAGGATTATATTCATGCATACAAGTCCTTTGGTTGATCTCTCCCCATCACCCCCACACTCCCCTACATTCCCCAGAGGTTTGACGGTCTTCTCATGCTTCCCTGTCTCTAGATCTGTTTTTGTTCATCAGTTTATGTTGTTCATTATATTCCATAAATGAGTGAGGTCATGTGATATTTATCTCTGACTGGCTTATTTCACTTAGCATAAGGCTCTCCAGGTCCATCTAAGCTGTTGCAAATTGTAAGAATTCCCTTTTTTTTTCTTCTTTTTCTTTTTTTCCTGCAGTGTAGATGTGTAGATGTACCACATCCATTGTGTAGATGTACCACAATTTTTTAATCCACTAATCTGCATATGGGCACTTAGGCTGTTTCCAAAATCTTAGCTATGGTGAATTGTGCCGCTATGAACATACAGATGCATATATTCTTTCTGATTGGTGTTTTTAGTTTCTTGGGATATATTCCTAGAAGTTGGATCACTGGGTCAAATGGGAGTTTCATTTTTAGTTTTGTGAGGAAAACTCCATAGTGGCTGCACCAGTCTGCACCAGCAGTGCACGAGGGTTCCTTTTTTTTGCATCCTTGCCAGCACTTGTTTCTTGATTTGTTGATAATAGCCATTCTGACAGGTGTGAGATGGTACTGCATTGACATTTTGATTTGCATCTCTCGATTGATTAGTGACTCTGAGCATGTCTCTTGGCCTTCGTTATGTTTTCTTTAGAAAAGTATGCACATTTTTTTATTGGATTGTTTATCTTCCTTTTATTAAGTTATATGAGTTCCCTGTAAATGTTGGAGATTAAAACCTTATTGGTAATAATATTGGGAAATATGGTCTTCATGCAGTGGGCATTCTTACTGTTTTGTTGATGGTTTCTTTTGCTGTATAAAAGCCTTCATTTTACTATAGTCCCATTTGTTTTCATTGCCCTAAGAGTGGCATTGGTGAAAAATTGCTTCAGTATATGTCTAAGATTTTGCAGTCTTTGAATTCCTCTAGTACATTTATGGTTTCCCATCTTATGTTTAAGTCCTTTATCCGTTTTGAGTTTATTTTTGTGTATGATGTAAGTTAGTGGTCTAGTTTCATTTCTTTGCAGGTATCTGTTCAATTTTTCCAGTACCATTTATTGAAGAGACTGTCTTGACTCCATAGTATGTTCTTGCCTCCATTGTTAAATATTAATTGAACATAATGGTTTGGGTCAATTTCTGGGTCCTCTATTCTATTTCATTTATATATATATATATATATATATATATATATATATATATATATATATATATATATATATAATCTGTTCTTGTGCCAGTACCATGCTATTTTGAGAACAGTGGCTTTATAATACAGCTTGATATCTGATATTGAGATCCCACCTACTTTGTTCATCTTTCTCAGGATTGCTTCAGCTATTTGGGGTCTTTTTTATTCCAGATGAATTTTGGGAAGTTCATTCTAAGTCTATGAAATAGGTCATTGGTATTTTAATGGGGAGTGCATTGGATCTATAGATTGCTTTGGGTAGTATGGATATTTTAATGATGTTGATTCTACCAATCCATGAACATGGTATGTTCTTCCATCTGTTTACATCTTCCTTTATTTCTTTTTTTCAGTGTCCTGTAGTTTTCTACGTATAGGTCTTTTACTTCCTTGGTTAAGTTTATTCTTAGGTATTTTAATTTTTTTGGTGTGATGATAAATGGGATTGCTTTTTTAGTCTCTCTTTCTGTAAGTTCACTATTAGTGCATAAAAATTCCATAGATTTCTTGGCATTAATTTTGTATATTGCTACATTGCCAAATTCATTTATTAAGTCTAATAATTTTTGATGGAGTCTTTAGGGTTTTTATGTACAGTATCAAGTCATCTGCAAATAAGGACAGTTTTACTTTTTTTTTTTTTAATTTGGATGCTTTTTATTTCTTCTTCTTTTCTGACTACAATGGCTAGTACTTCCAGTACTATGTCAAACAGGAGTGGTAAGAGTGGGCATCCCTTCCTTGTTCCTTTTTTAGAGGAAATGGTTTTAGTTTTTGACCGTTGAATATGATGTTGGCTGTGGGTTTGTCATATATGGCTTTTATTATGTTGAGGTATGATCCTTATATTCCCACCTTGTTGAGAGTTTTTATCAAGAAAGGGTACTGGATTTTGTGAAATGATTTTTCTCCATCAATTGATATGACTAAGTGATTTTTAGATCTCAATTTGTTCATGTGATTTATTATGTTTATTGATTAATGGATATTGTACTATCCTTGCACCCCTGGGATAAATCCTACTTGGTCATGATGTATGATCTTTCTGATGTATTGCTGGATCTCATTTGTTAGACTTTTATTGTAGATTTTAGTATCTATTTTTATTAGAAATATTGGCATGTAATTCTCTTTCATTGTGTTATCTTTATCTGGATTTATTATTAAGGTGATGCTGTCTTCATACAATGAGCTTGGAAGAGTTCCTTCCTCTTGAACTTTTTGAAATAGTCTGAGGAGGATAGGTTTTAGTTCTTCCTTGAATGTTTGGTAAAACTCCCCTGTGAAGCCATCTGGACACTGACTTTTTTTTGCTGGAGTTTTTGATGACTGGTTCAATTTCTTCCATAGTTATCGGCGTATTGAGATTTTTAGATTCCTCCTGATTGAGTTTGGAAAATTATATTTTTCTAGGAATTTGTCCATTTCCTCCAGGTTATCCAGTTTGTTGGAATCAAGTTGTTCATAGTATTTTGTAACAATCATTTGTATTTCTGTGGGGTCTGCTGTTATTTTGCCTCTTTCATTTCTGATTTTGTTTATTTGGGTCCTCTCTCTTTGTTCTTGGTGAGCATGGCTAGAGGTGGTTCATCGATCTGCTTTATCCTTTCAAAGAATCAGCTTTTGCCGAAACCGGTTTGGCTCAGTGGATAGAGCGTCGGTCTGCGGACTGAAAGGTCCCAGGTTCGATTCCGGTCAAGGGCATGTACATTGGTTGTGGGCACATCCCTGATAGGGGGTGTGCAGGAGGCAGCTGGTCGATGTTTCTTTCCCATCAACGTTTCTAGCTCTCTATCCCTCTCCCTTCCTCTCTGTGGAAAAATCAATAAAATATATATTTTAAAAAAAAGAATCAGCTCTTGGTTTCAAGGATATTTTGAATATATATATTCAATATATATATATTCAAACATATATATATATATTCAAACATATATATATATATTGGTTTTCATGTCATTTATTTCTTCTCTGATCTTTATTATCTCCTTCCTTCTGCTCATTCTGGGCTTTTATTGTTGCTTTTATCTATTTCTTTATGCTGTAGAGTTAGTTGATTTACTACAATTTTTTTTTGAGGTAGGCCTGTAGAGCTATATACTTCCCTCTCAGGTCTGCTTTCATTTTGTCCCATAGATTTTGGATAGATGTGTTTTGATTGTAAGTAGTTTCCAGGATGTTTTAAATATCTTCGTTGATTTCTTTATTTTATAGCAGGCTATTCAGCTTCCAAGTGATTGAATTTTTTGTATTATTTTTATTGTAGTTTATTTCTAATATTATGCCATTGTGATCTGAGAAGATGCTTGGTATGATTTCAATCTTGAATTTGGGGAGACTTTGCTTGTGACCCAATATGTGTGTCTATTTTTTAAAATGTCTCATGTGCACTTGAGAAGAAAGTATATTTCATCACTTTGGGGTGAAATGTTCTGAAGATGTCAATGAAGTCCATCTGATCTAGAGAGTCATTTAGGATTGCTGTTTCTTTGCTGATTTTATGTCTCACAGATTTATCCAATGATGTCAGTGGTGTATTAAAGTCCCCTACTATGATTGTATTGTTGTCGATCTCTCCCATGATATCTTCTAGGAGTTTTATTGTGTATTTGGGTACTCCTCTTTGGGTGCATATATGTTTATCAGGGTTATAATCTCTCTTTTTTGGGGGGGGTGTTTTGAGCAACAAGTTGGTATTTTATTTTATTATTACTACTTTTTCAAATCTTTATTGTTCAGATTATTACATATGTGTTCCTCTCCCCCCTCCCCGTCAATTGCACCCCTCCACCAGGTTCCCACCCCACCCTCTGTCCTTTCCCCATCCCCCATTGTCCTCATCCATAGGTGCACAATTATTGTTCAGTCTCTTCCCGCACCCCCACTCCCCTTTTCCTGAGAATCATCAGTCCACTCCCCTTCCAAACCTTTGATTCTATTATATTCACCAGTTAATATTGTTCATCATATTTTTTAATTCCCTTAATTTTTAGTTTCACTTGTTGATAGTTATGTATTTATTGTTCATAATTTTTATCTTTATCTTCTTCCTCTTCCTAAATAAC